CTGCTATTGCTATTGCTATTGCTTTTTTTTTTTTTTACAACTTCATAGCCTTTCTCATTGACTGAATTTAAGACCCAATCTACAGGGTTTTTTTTGCTTTGTTTAAGCTCATCATTGTAATCTCTAGCTCCTCCATAAGCAAACAGCCTAATTCAGTGATGGCTAACCTTTTCGACACCGAGTGGCCAAACCAGAACATGTGTGCCGGAGTGCCAGAAACCCAAAGACCAGGTGCCCAGCTGATTTTCGGGTTTCCAGCACTCCAGTGTCCATGAATACCAGTTGGCCGGTGCGCATGCACATGCTGGAAACTCAAAGAGCAGCTGGCGACAGCACTCATGCCATGCCCACAGAGACCTCTGGCACATCACAGGCCTAATTCGTTCTCCTGGTTATATTTTTCTTTTAACATTTTATGCTTCTCTATAAACATTTACAACTTTTTTTTCCAAAAGGACTGCAGCTTCTATGGGTTGCTAAGTAAACTCTGAGTCTTGAAGTATTCCTTGATAGATTGGTTTCAGAGTCCAACCTGCCTGCTTGCAAGGGTAAAGTGCAAACCAGCTACCAGCTGTAGAGGGCCTGAAAAGGCTTAATTGCTAACTCTCTGAGTCTGCAAAACAGAGCACTCAAAACTCACTTGGTCAGAAATCTCAGCAGGCAAGAAAGTATTGACTTTTTACTGAAAAGTTACTCAATATGTGCAAATACAAAAATATAAGCCTGTCTATACTTTTCAATTTTCATTTTCACTTTTTCACAAATCTGAACACTAAAGAAAATTACTGGATTTTTAAAAAATGGTAGCAATTAGAATCCACAAAAGATATGTTCTGATATGATTAAAAAGCATTTGGCCTTTCTTATACATTCCTAATATTTTGGGGTTTGCCTCTGTTTCAGATTTTTATATTCAGTAATAATTAGAACTATATTTATTGTGTGTGTCTTCTAAAAGGTAATTGAATTTTGAGGAAATACTGAGAGTGTAGTTCCTTCCACATACGAAGCATTGATCCTGCCTAGCATAGATTCTAGCATATATCTTGCTTAAATCCTAGTTGTTAATAGCAATAGCACTTAGACTTATATACTGCTTCATAGTGCTTTATAGCCCTATCTAAGCAGTTTACAGAGTCAGCATATTGCCCCCAACAATTTGGGTCTTCTTTTTACCAACCTCAGAAGGATGGAAGGCTGAGTCAACCTTGAGCTCATCAGGATCAAACTGCTGGCATTGGGCAGAGTTAGCCTGCCATACTTGATTCTAGCCACTGCCCCAACTCTGCCCAATCACTCTTTAAATGATTGAATGTAGGCTTTCATAGATTAATCTGAGCTCTAATTTCCTCTCTTTGGACTCAGGATGTGCTGAACATTAATTAGTTCCACACCAAACACAATACTAGGGATTTCTGAGTTAATAGTTCACTTTCTTTATAGTTTTGTGAAAATGCTTTGAACTGGACTTCCAGTAGTGTGTTTCTCAGCTTTGTATACTCACTTGCCCAGTGTACTGGAATGGTGGATTTCTTCCTTTTCTAAAGCATTGGTGTCTTCTGAATGACTTGCCAATTGCACTTTCTAAAATGAAACAAGAATAGATTGCAGCCCAATCTCGATTAAGGTGCTAAAATAAAGAGATGTTCAAAAAGACCTGTACACACAACACATTTGTAATACTGCACCCAGTTTTGATCACCATAATATGAAAAAGAGATTGAGACTTTTTAAAGGTTGCAGAGAAGAGCAACTAAGGTGGCTAGAGACTAAAACACATGATGAATTGCAAGAACTGGGTATGATGAAGAAAAGATTTAGAGGGTGATATGATTGCAATCGTCCAATATTTGAGGGGCTGTCACATGGAAAAGCCACCATTCTCTGAAGCACCTGAGTGCAGGAAAAGAAGTAACAGATAGAAATTTATCAAAGCAAGACCCAACCTAGACTTAAGGAGAAATTTCCTGACAGAACAATTAATCAGACAGCCATTTGTTTGGAATGGTATAGGGTCTCATGTTTGAGCAGGGGGTTAGACTAGAAGATCTCCAAGGTCCCTTCCAATTCTGTTATTTTGTATTCTGTTAAACTAACCATCTCAACATGTTTTTTCATATCTAGTAGTGTCCTACAGCAGTTCTGTATCTAAAGACTTGATATTCATATGCAACTGACTTCACACACATAGAATTCTTCTCTCCCACACTGCATGGCTTCTTTAGAATTCACATAAATCTAAAACTTACCATTTTGAATAGAAAGTGGCTACAACAGCAGTTTCAAGGTAAGCAGGTTTAGGCATGCTTTTCCCTATTTCCTAGGTTGATTTATCCTTCTTACCCAGATTCCCCTGATCCGTCGTTTTACATTTTTTATAAATGAATGTTGAGGAGGAACACAATATTCAGGGATGTAAAACATGCAATTTGACTCCCCCAATTCTTAAAAAATCCTTAGTAATCCAAAAATCAAAACAGAATAAACAAACTTTTAACTAAACACTAAATTAAGAGATTATCTTTTGGGGATTTATGGGCCACCAGTTCTCCTCCTCAGCTATTTGCTGCTGCATGTTGTCTACAATACTAGAAGTTCTGCAGAAGCCAGCAATCAAAGGGTACAGATGGTAGAAAGCGAGATGATGCAACATTAGCTATGCTGATATATCATCTCCTTATTGACTTAAGTAGTTAACTCTGTTGATATTTAGGGAGGTGATTTTAAAAGATTAAAGATTAAATCTCTGGCCAAATATTACAATGTCTAAAACATAATAAAGGCTGTTTGTGAAATTATAATGAAATTATATGGCAACACACAAGATTGGCCCAAATTAGGTCTAGCAATGGTGCAAAGACTCAGCCTATTTCGTGGTACAATAGAATAGTGACTCTCTTCTCATCCATGCGCAAACTCCCATTGTGAAGCTTTAGGAGACAGCATGTGACTTTTTTCAGTTTAGATTTGCTTCTTTTTTTACATCACCATATGGGTCATATGCTTATGCCTCCTAGATTTGGATTCCATAACCTTGTAGACTGAAGGACAGCAAGTGCCCTAAGAACAGTCTTTCCCAAGTTTGGCTCCCAAGGTATCATTCCCTAGGAGGGGGCTAGCCCTTGGCCAGGGTGTGATTTAACATTAAGCCTAGATTCTGTTCACCTGCTAAAGAATCTGTTGTAGATAATTTCATATTTCTTTCATTTCTTTTCTTTTTATGGCCCTATTATTTTGGCTTAAAAGTGTATTAGATTTATTTATTTGTATTTATTTAGTTTGTCGAACATGCACGAGATAGCAGGTATGTATAAACATGGACATGAGCACATGAAATGAGTACAAATAAATGGGGACAGTAGGACAGGGACGGTGGGCACGCTGGTACGCTTATGCATGCTCCCTTACAGACCTCTTAGGAATGGTGTGAGGTCCACGGTAGACAGTTTAAGGTTAAAACTATGGGGGTTAGAGGAAGTAACAACGGAGTCAGGTAGAGCATTCCAGGCATTGACCACTCTATTGCTGAAGTCATATTTTCTGCACTCGAGTTTGGATACGTTAATAAGTCATGTTTTTAGAAAAAATCTTTCTTACCAGAAAAAAATTGGGATGAAGAAACGTCTTTGGAGGACTTGGAATGTTTGCTTCCCATTTCTTTTTCTTGCTGCAGTAAAAGCATAAATTTAATTCAGAGAATTCACCAAGATTATACCTGCTTCTGTTCAACCAGCACCAAAACCTCGCCTTTACTTTGGCAGCTGCCACACAAAGGCAATAGTGAGTGGGCAGTCAAGTCCCCACTCCATATTCACCTGATAGCCAGTTCAGCTTTTGCTGCTATTCTACTTATCTTAGGTAATTTCCTTTGGTTTAAATCTGGATGCTACAAGATATCTCCTATCATTCTTTCAAATCACCTTATTGGCTGAGCTGCTAAAATATGAATCTAATAAAATCCGAAGGACTTAGGACCTGCTCCAAATCCTGGAACTGATGTCAGCAGAAAAGAGTGATATGAACCAAAGAAGCAGGAGCCAGTTGCAAAATGGGAAAGGGCAATATTTGGCCTAGGCTCTAAAATCCTTAACCCCTTCAGATAGTTTTACTTCAAAATCTCAAATGAGGAACTGACTCCAGTTGATTGCACCTGTACTTTATCTGTTTCCATTTTATTGTTATCCATGACCTTTGAGGACTTCCCTCCAAAAATGAGTAAGGATAAGACAAAGAACTGATTGAATTGGTTTGGAGGTAGAAATGGTAGACTGAAGATAATGGCAGTGGTGGGATTCAAAAAAAATTACTACCAGTTCTGTGGGCGTGGCATGGCTTGGTGAGAATGGCAGAGGAAGGATACTGTAGAATCTCCATTCCCTCCCCACCCCAGGGGAAGGTTACTGCAAAATCCCCAGTCCCACCCAATCACCTGGGACTCTGGAGACAGAGAATAGTTGGGGGCAGGCCCAGTCAGAGGTAGTATTTACCGGTTCTCCAAACTACTCAAAATTTCCACTACCGGTTTTCCAGAACTGGTCAGAACCTGCTGAATACCACCTCTGGATGGCTCCATGAAACATGCAGTTGATGGCTGTAGCAAAGAACGAAGAGAGGTCTAGAATGTCTCCAGATAAGGAATAAAAGGGAGATTGCCCAATGTGTTCTATATATTTGCTTCATCTTGGTTCCAGATGGTTTTTTTTTAGAACTGGGAGACAATGGGAATAGCCATCTTGTTTGCAACCACAGTTGGGTCTTTTAAAAACTCACAAAGTTCCTTTTCTACCCACTTTCAGAAATTGCTTGTTAACTAATTTGTAAGCTATTAGAGACTTTCAGATCAACTGTCTGAAAACACCATGTAAATTTGCCTTCAGTCCTTAATCATAAACTTAACATTTAAATAAAATAAAATAAAGTAAACAGCAGCAAGTGACAAAAATAAGACTTTGACCACAAATATTATCGTAAAGGATTTTAAAATAAATCTTACATGTAGCCTCCCAGCCACAGTTAAATTTTGACTGAGTTTCTCAGAGGTCTGACAACTTTTGACAGACAGGTTGAATGAAGCCAGCATTTGTTGGGAGGAGAAATTATGCAGAGAAATTGTGCAATACTAGTGGATCTGGGTTTTTTTTTTTAGTTTAGTGGATCTGATATTTGTGAGGATGAATGGAATGAAGAAAATGATCCTGGGTGTCATGTAATAGCTTATTGCCCAAGATGTTAAATATCTACATATACAAATAGGTTACCTTGACCAACTGACATTGCACAAAACAAAATAGTCTTATATAAAGGTAAAGGTTTCCCTTGCACATATGTGCTAGTCATTTCCAACCCTAGGGGGCAGTGCTCATCTCCGTTTCAAAACCGAGATGAAAACGCCTCTATGGTTATGTGGCTGGCATGACTAAATGCCAAAGGCGCACGGAATGCTGTTAACTTCCTACCAAAGGTGGTCGCTATTTTTCTACTTGCATTTTTACATGCTTTCTAACTGCTAGGTTGGCAGAAGCTGGGACAAGTAACAGGAGCTCACTCTGTTATGTGGGTGCTAGGGATTTGAACCGTCGAACCTCCAACCATAGTGATCGACAAGCTCAGCGTCTAAAATAATTCCCAGCAAAAAAAAATGGCAAATCATGTACAAACTGATTAGAATACAGCACATTGAAAAAGGATGTGCTTTGTGTTGCTTGGAATTTTCACTGGAAATCATGTAGATAGCAGTGTACACATATTTACTCCCATAGAGTACAGCTACTGGAACAAGGCTACAGAGAACTATTCACACCTGAGGCCGTATAATGGAAGTAAAGTCTGCAAAAACTTCACAGCGGCTTGGGACAATTGTAGATAAAGTCAGTGAGGCAAAGAAAGCTCAGTTTAACCCAATTATGTCATGTTCAAAAAAATAATTCTATAAAAAATAGACATTACGTTGTTGAGCTAGCAGAAATTCTTAGGTTTTCTCTAAAAAAAATTTGCTGGGTTCACGCAAGGGGAAAGTGATGAGATAATGGCAATAGAGTAATTTTATTTGGAACCTTATACTTAGTTACAAACCAGGATCCCAAAATTCAGTCAATTGTTTACTTTGCAGATTTCTGAAACCAGCAATCCAAGAAGCCCTGAGATCTTTGGCTACATAGCAAAGCAGCTTTGAAATTGCCTTCAAGATTTGAGACAGCTAACTCCAACCTAGTGCTTTCTAGATGTATTGTGACTACAATGCCTGGAATACCCAGCTAGAATTCTGTCACTTGGCATATCTGAATGTAACAAATTGGGGAAGGTCACCGTAAGACTTGAGTTAAGAGAGATGAACACAGCATTCTTAGCATAGCTGCTTGCTATTGTGGGGAGGAATCTCCCATTCAATCTTCCCTTGTTCCTAAAATCCCAACCTCACAGCTATTTTCCAGGGCAAAAGGCAAGAAAATTACACTTAAACAAAAGATAAAGAACTTGACAAAGAGGTGGAGATAGACATTCCTTTCACTATAGACAAAAGATCCCTTCTTCTGTGTTTCCCACCTCCAGCTGCAACTGTTAATTAAGCAAGAAGCCAGCTGATAAGTGGAATAAGTGGAAAACCCACACAAAATCAGCAGGGTGCTTAACCATCAAACCTCCCTTTTGGTCATCCAGCTAATCATAGTTTCCAATGATTTCTAGTGGGTGGGCTCTGTTTCTGGGAGGAATAAAGGACAAGATAGAAAGATAATCACTCGACAGCTATAACTCTGTTAGAACCTCTTTGATTACTGTACTTCGTGTAAGCTCCGGAATCAACTATGCCTCTGCTCCAACTGACCTATCCTATGTGTTCTTCAGATGATCTGGTCTGATTTTGAACTCCATACTTTCTTTTAACTTTCCCACCTCTGTTATGCTAAGGTGTTAAAATGTACATCAGTCATACCTTATAATATATTTTTGGCAAACGCAGATTCCTCCCATCATCAGGATGATGCAGACCACTGTTATTAGCAATATACCCCAGAGAGGAAAACCTAAAACAGAATAGAGTATTAAAAAATATCAATTAAATGAACTATTAAAGCAAGTTTTAGGAAGAAAAGAACAAAAACAAGCGGATCACACCACAGTACAGTGTGGAATTATATCTGAGTGGGCTGCCTTTGAAGATGCTTAGGAAACTATATGTCATCCAGGATACTGTTCTACTTCTACTACAACTTGGCAAAGAGAAGATATCTCAAGAGTTAGGCAGGAATTTTCACAGCTCTACCTCAGTGGTGGGATTCAAATAACTTAACCACCGGTTCTCTGCCCCAATGACCGGCTGGGTAAGCATGTCTTGGGTGATCATGTGACTGGGTGGGCGTGGCCAACTCAGCATCACTCACATTGCGGGGGACCTCGCCTTGCCCAGCCTCTCTTCGCCATGCCCGGCCATGCTGCACCTCTCCCTTCCCAGCCACTCTTGTCACTTCCAGTTACTGGCCCTGCCACCCAGCCAGATCAGTGGCCAAGTGACTGGGTCAGCAACCGGGCAGAGAGGTGAGGAGTGGGTGGGAAGAAAAGGGTGAGGAGGGGCCAGGCATGGGGAGGCATGCTATTCAGCCAGTTTGCCGAACTGCACAAAAAAGTTAGCTACCAATTCTACCGAACCTGTGAGAAATGGCTAAATCCCACCACTGCTCCTCCTGGAGATCTCAGGGACTGAACGTGTGGCCTTTTGCATGCAATCACATAATTTGCACAGATTGTATTTATTTTTTAAATAGTTGCATAACTGCAGCTTATTTCATTGTTTTCATTATTTCTGTTCCTTAATTCAGAGCATTTATTTCTAAATTATTTCAGTACTTTTGATGAAAAATAGTATCTAATTGATGTTTTGAAATAAATAAATAAGATGTGTGTGTGCACATGCACACACCACTCCATCCACAAAAGATCCCACTGTGATATTGTTTTGGAAAAAATAAATTAATTTGATGCATATGTTGGTTCATCACAATTTGAGTGACTCTGGGTCACAACCTAAGCCAAATGCATGCATTATATATTATATTTTGTCTTATGACGATAACATAAACTATTTGCCAATAAAGACCAAAAGAAGATTAGTGTACATTCTTAACTTACCACTGGTCGTTTGCCAGTGAAATTCCTCACTCCATTCACTCCAATAACCTTCGTAATCTTCACCGTTTACTATTGTTCGCACCTTTGCTATGTAATTTTTGCCCAGTTCCAGGAAATTTGAAGTGAAGGTAAATTCCTCGTTTGCACTGTTCATTACTTGGGCCTGAAAGGAAGCAAAAAAAGATAAGAGGGGGGAAAATCAAATTACATGAGGGCAAACAAAAGCATAATCTGTTTGCTGTATGAAGCAATCTATTCCTTCTTACCTTTAAAGGTTTTCCAGTTTCCCAGTATGAAATCTCATATCTCTTTTTCACACCAAAGTCATTATTGATCTTTTTGGAGTCCCAGCGGAGGATGTACTTAGGACCATCAAATACTGACATGGACAAGTTATAAGGTGGGTGTGGCTTGACTAGAAGAAACAAAAGAATATATCAAGAGATTAATTTAAGAGATTCTAACTCTCTTTCAGGCTCTAAAATACATTACATCTCTCTAATTCTTCCCCTCGTTAGATTTTTTTCTGAATTTCACAATGAAGAGGAATATCCCTAATATTAGTAAGCTCATCTTAAAAAACAACAACACCTGATTCAGATGATATGCTTCAGAGATGGGTTCCTACCAGTTCGCACCTATTTGGTAGAACCGGTTCGTCAAATCTACTGAATCGGTTAGAAGAGGTTCCACCAGTGGACCCAGAAAGCAGGCCACACCTACAGAAGAGGTTCCAAAAATTTTTGAAACCCACCACTGACATCTTTGTACATCTGCCTAGGTCAGATTCAAAGAATTAGTCTTTCATAACATCCCAGTATATAATGTTAACTTATCCGGGGAAGGAAACTTGCTAGGAAAACAAACTGGCAACTTTAATTCAGCATTGTAAATATAAGGATAACATATAGAATTCAAACTCAGAAAAATTAGAATTTTATTTTCTTTCATTTGAAAAAAATATATCAATAGCTTTGTGTTTTTTTAGGAGAAATATGCAAATACTAGTAAATTCATATCGATATAAAACAAAGCAAATGCCTTTTTGTTCAGCTGGAACAACAATCACCAATGAAACATCCTTTGCTGCCCTCTATCATGTGCAAAAGAAACTAATTCTGAGTTTTAGACAACTTTATTAAGCTAAGTTAAAGTTCACCCATCTTCACTTTGCCAAGATTCAGAAATTCTGCTCTTGACAATTGCACCTGACAGAGAAAGCAAGTCTCAGTGGTTTACCCTTATATGGTTAAATCTCCCATCCATGCAAATGCCATTGGCGGACACTTTTCGTTTAGCAATTGTTTCCTTCGTCTTTTCCCTCCCAGATGTTTGTATTCATGAATATGTTATCATCCATTTGCCACATTCTCTCTTTTATTACTAATATCTTTTCTTTTGTGCACCCATTGAATTATTATTGTTTTGATGCTAAAACACAAAATCAAAAACAACAGGATGCCTGCATTCCTTTATTCATTATGTTTTTATTAAAAGGTTTTGTTTTGTATTTTGTACTGTACGAAGTTAGCACCCACCCCTGTCCTAGAAGAATGAAATATCCTAGGGAATATTTAAAAAGGCAGAATGTTTCCCCTAAAAAGAGAAGTAGAAACTCAAGAGAAGCAGAAACTCAGGCACCCCCACCTTTGTCAATGGGCCACTAGGGGCCTGGGTCAGTCTATTCTACATAACAAAGGTAAAATTAGCCTTCTACCCATCTCACACATGGCACCTGGGAAGAAGCAATGGTCAACCAAACTTGGACTCAAAACACAGCCTACAGAGTTGCCCCTCAATGGCCCCATGGGAGTCTGACAACCAATCATAGTGCATTTCTTGCACAGGAGTGGGAGGCCACGGGGCAGGGCCCAACAGAGGGCATAAAACCTGGGCTTTTCAGCATCTCAGTCCCTTTTTCTTCTTCACCCAACATCTTGAAGCATGTGATCCCCTTTTCTGTTCAGGAACTCAAGCCATGATCCTGTTCACCATTAAACTATCTTTACAAGCAGCCTCCAAGTTTCCAGTGTCTTTTTCCCCACTTGGAACCGAATCCAGAAGGACATTTCTTCCAACAGTACTAATGATGAACATCTGACAGCCAAGGTTTATAAAAGGCTGCTACAGTTGAACCTACAAAGTAAATATGTTAAACACTGCAATGGTGACATGAGAAGCTGCCAGGTAACTTCTGAGGACAGACTTGAACATGGATTGTTCACAATCTTAATCTAGTCTCTATTTCAGACATGCCACACTGGTTAGTTAGATGATTATTGTTTTGATTATGTCAAATCCCATCTTTATTATGGAATTCTGCGCAAAGTATGTGAGATTTTTAATTTAGGCACTGATAAAATCCAGGGTTGTTTAATTTCAGTGAAGTTGTGAGATCATGTGTCTTCAGGCCATACCTAAATCCTCCTTAATCAGCAGGACATATCCTAGAGAAGATCGTAGAGTCAATCCATTTTATCTGCATGTTTGCTCTTTTAATACTCTGTATTGGTTATAATCCAAATAAGAGAATCAAGAATTACAGGAGTTAGTATATGTTTCTGTGAAATAGGTAGACATTCTCTAAAGGGACTTACTGTTCAGATACATGTCGATCTCCTTTGCTTCTTCTTTCGGTACCACACGAACAAAATATTGACTTTGCTTGTTGGGGTTGGTGACATTGATCTCGCAACTTTGCAATACATAATAAGTGGCATTATTGCTTAAAAGGGGTACTTGATGGACTTCAGAGCATTCCACCTCTCTGCATATAAACAAAAACAACAGAGAGAACTTGTAAAAAATGTATATTAAATTTAAAAAAATCCAAAAGTAGGTCATTTGGGAAAATATTTGATTTAAAGATAGTTTCTTACTCTGATCCAGGTTTGTCTTTGTAGAAGAGTGTGAACAAGATAGAACTGCTGACTTCTTGTCTCACCTCCCAACTGCATTTGAGTCGATCAACTCCATTAAAATAACATTGAAGATTCTGGTGCACAGCATCATCTGACAGAGAAATCGGAAATATATTTATTGAACTTGTGCAAAATGTGACAACAATAAGGATGAAGAATTTGATAAAGAGCGTTGCTAAAATGAAAATGAAGAAAAAGGTCTAGGTTTCCTCTGTCCAGCTGTGTCTGACTCTAGGGGGCAGTACTCATCTCAGTTTAGCAATAGCAGTTAGACTTATATACCGCTTCATAGGGCTTTCAGCCCTCTCTAAGCAGTTTACAGAGTCAGCATATTGTCCCCACAGTCTGGGATATTCTCACTTAATTTTCTTTTCTTACATGCCAATTT